ACCCCTACAAGGGTCTCAGGTCTCCCACCTGCCTTGCCCACTCTTCCTCCTGAAAACCTCAGGATTTGCTCCCTCCTATCTTTCAGGTCTCAGCTCAGATAACATTTTTTAGCGCCCCCCGACCACTCTATATATACAAAAGCCTACCCACTCTTGGCTCTCCATATTCTTCTCCAGCATTATGAGCTGAACTGGGTCTCCCCCCGTCAAAAAAAAAAAAACTATGTTGGAGTCCTAACCCCCACTCACCTCAGGGAGTGACCTTATTTGGAGATAGGATCTCCACAGAGGTGATCAAGTTAAAAAGAGCTCATTAAGGGTGGCCCTAATCCAATATGACTGGTGTCCTTATAAAAGGGGAAAATTGGACAGGGATAGACACAGAGAGGAGATACAATGTGAAGACACGGAGAGAAGCCAGCCACCGACAAGCCAAGGGAAGAGGCCTGGAACGGTTCTCCCTCACAGCCCTCAGAAAGAATCATTCCTGTTGATACCCTGATCTCAGACTTTTGGCCTCTAGAACTGCGAGACAAAAGTTTCTATTGGTTTAAGCCACCTAGTCCGTAGTATTTGGTTCAGACGGTCCTAGAAAACTAATATACTGCCTGGCTTGATACATGCTTATCTGTTTTTTCTTTCCACCTTATTAGAATCGAAGCCCATATGGGTAGGGACTTTTTATATTTTATGCACCACCCAGTGTCTGGTGTGAAGCTGTTGTGCAATAAATATTTATGGAATAAATGAATGAATTTGTAAATTGCTCACTCTGTGACTGGCATCACACATACATGATTTGGCTGTTCTTGAGTTAAATCCTCTACAACAAACTGGTAATAGTAAATAAAGTGCCTTCCTGAGTTCTATGAGTCATTCCAAATGATTATCAAACCTGAAGGTGGAGGTCTTGGGAACCTCTCTGATTTATACCTCTGTCAGAAGATTGGGGGGTCTAGGATTTGTGACTGATATCCAAACTGTGGATGGCCGATGAATCAGTCAGAGGACTCAGTGCTCATTTCATGCCCAGCACCATCCTGTAGCTGCTTCTCCACCAGTTGTGGCTGGGCTCTGCCAGTTGGAAAATAAGGAGCATTTTCCTCCAAGAAGATCTTACCTGCTCAGAATGATGCTAGAAATGAACCTACAAAGCATGTTGTAGGTCTGAGATATCTGCTCCTACCAAATTGCTATCATAAGTTCTAAATCATAGAGCTCTGGACTGTATTAAGAATCATCCTGGAGGATCCCAGAAAGGTGGGGATTTGCCTGGGTCCTTTGTCTCTTTACAAGTTGAGAGGAAAACTGTATTAATAAGGGTTCTCAAGAGAATCAGAACCAATATAGACAGATAAACTTATAGAAATTGGTTCGCATGATTATGGAGGCCAAGTCCCACGATCTGCTATCTGCAAGCTGGAGAATCAGGGCAGCCAATGGCATAAGACCAGGAGAAGATGGATGTCCTAAATCAGGAAGAGAACAGATTAACTTTTCTCTGTCTTTTTGTTCTGTTCAGGACCTCTGTGAATTAGATGATGCCCACCTGCATTGGTGAGGGCAATCTTCTTTACTGAGTCTGCTGATCCAAATGCTAATTTCTTCTGGAGATACACCCAGAAATTGTTTCTCTAGCTGTCTGGACATCCCTTAGCCCAGTCAGGTTGACACATAAAATCAACCATCATAAGAACACACCCCTAAACCTACTGTCCTGAGGGCCCTGCAGCCCTGGCTCTGGTTCCTCCAGCATCAGGGATTTGAAACGCTGTTAAGTTTAGCCTCGGAGACCCCAGGGATGGAAGCACATCTCCTCCTGCCTCAGCATCACCTCCCATTTGAGTGAGCAGGGGACTCCACTCAGAATTGGTGGGCATCCCCTTGTTCTCTTGGTTACAGGTAACCTAGACATCCAAGGACAACTTTGAAAAGAAAAGATGTTACACAGTACAAAATAGTAAGTTGTTGTGACAATTATTATTGTTGCCATCTTTGTTTTTGTGCTAGTAAAATGGGTCTTACAAGATTGTGCAGGTAACTGCAAATTAGGTTTTCCCATTAAAAATCCACATGGCAAAAAAAGAAAAAAAGAAAAGAAAGAAAAAAAAAAGAAAAAAAAATCCACAAGGCACCTTCATACTTAGAATCAGGAAGGAGGCAGGGTCTGCTGCCAAATCCTCACTCTCATCCCCTCTCCCCTTCTTCCCCTCTGCCCCTCTAAGTCTCAGGGGCTCTAACTTCTGTGTGGACCATGTCTTCTGACACCTACTGATTAAAATGAGCATCTGTGACTGACTCGGGCCAACTGGTCTTAAGTTTGAAGAAGGTCTCAAAGTAGCAAACACAAACCTGAAGAAACACAGATCCAAGTGGCTGCAGGACCAGAACCTGTCACCACCAGTGTTCTCATACACAACTCCTTCCTCCTGGGTGGGAGCATCACAAGCACAGGTACTAGAGCCCCAGGAATGAGGACCTTGTGAGGGGACCTGGCAGCCCACAGGTGCTTTGAGAGTGGGACAGTTAGGAGTTCAAGAATGCCAAGGCCCATGGAAGGGGACAAGGTGAGGTTCAAGATCACCAGAGCATGAGCATAAGGCCTGGGAACTAAAATCAGGGAGCCTCTGGGGCAGGAAGGTCTGGGGGAAATCCACAGACAACAAGAAACATGTGGCTTAAGTTTTCCTGGAGAATTAAGTTCTCCTTAATTGGAGAATTATGACCTATGTTATATGAGATCAGTATATGACCAGATCTGATCTCATATAACATAGGTCATATGCTCATCTCGATGAAGAATGTTGTCAATAATACTAAAAAAATTGTTGCTTTTATTTGTCAGGATGCCTTGCATTTGTTATATTTCAGGGTGCAATTTCTAAGAACTGGGAAAATGTATTTACTTCCAGGAGGTCAAAGACTTCCTGCCCTGAAACAGGAGAGGAATATCACCTATGTTGGGTCGACAGATTTATTAGTTTGTAATGTATATGGAAACCAATAGAAGAGATAAAACAAAATTCTTTAAAAAATACTCAAACATAAATTGGGCAGGAAGGGAAGAAAAAGGGAACAAAGAACAGATGGGACAAATAGATGCATAACAAGATGATAGATTTAAACCCATTCATATCAGTAATTATATTAAATATAAATGATCTAAACACTTCAATTAAAAGCAAAGATTATCAAATTGATAAAATAAGCAGAACCCAACTATATGCTATCCACAAAAAATGCATTTTAAGTAAGTGAAACATAAAAAAAATGGGAAAAAGTATTCCAAGCAAATACTAATCATGAAATAGCTGAAATGATTATATTAAAATTAGACATAGTAGATGTCAAGATGTCAAGATCAGGAATATTACCTGAAATACAGAGAGACATTTTATAAAGATAAAAGGACCAATTACTTAAGAAGCCATAATGATATTAAATATGATCAAGTACAAAGTTTAAAAATCCATGAAGTAAAAATAAGAGAACTGAAGAAGAAATAGACAAAGCTGCAATTATAGTTATATATTTCAAAATACTGGCACAAGAAGAAATAGGGAAAAAAAGAAAAATATATATATGATACTGAATTTACAGTTTGTTTCCACACACTGTTTGTCAATTATACCTCAATTTAAAAAAAAAAAAAAAGTCCTCACAAACACATCACTAGGTCCAAATAGAAATAAAATGCCAGTCTTTTTTAGAAATCTAGGAGGACAACACTTCCCTACTCATTTTATGACAAAGATAAGATGAGAAAAGAAAACCACAGTACAATATCCCTCATAAGGTTAGATCCAAAAAATCTGTAACAAAAAAAAACAAAAAAGACCTGCACCAGAATCTAGGAAAATATAGACATAATACATCATGACCAATGGAGTTCATTCTAGGAACACAAAGTTGCTTTCCCCCTCATATTGGTAACAAGGCAAAGATGATCACCCTCACTGTTTCTTTTTTTTTTTTTCTTTTTTTTTAAATTTGTAGAGGTAGAATTTAGTGATTCATCAGTTACATATAACACCCAGTGCTCATTACATCAAGTGCCCTCCTAAATGCCCATCACCCAATTGTCCCTTCCCCCACCCACCCCCCCTCCAGCAACCCTCAGTTTGTTCCCTAGAGTTCAGCTCTCTTATGGTTTGCCTCCCTCTCAATTTTCATCTTATTTTATTTTTCCTTCACTTCCCTTATGTTCATCTGTTTCGTTTCTTAAATTCCACATATAAGTGAAACATATGGTACTTTTCTTTCTCTGACTTATTTCACTTAGCATAATGCCCTCTAGTTCCATCCACATCATTGCAAGTGTCAAGATTTCAATTCTTTTTGATGGCTGAGTAATATTCCATTGCATATATATATGCATATATCTTTTTCCATTCATCTGTCAATGGACATCTGGGCTCTTTCCATATTTTGGCTATTTGTGGATATTGCTGCTATAAAGCTAGAATGACCTTCAGAGATGTCCAGAAGTAACATGGTAGCTGGGCTTTTCTATCCCCACATCTACCATTCATTGGGTTTAGGCTGCCACCAGGCTGAGGGTATATGGTTTAGCCAGGCAGCTCCCTTCAGTTGAGTGCAATGCCTGTGGAAGGTCCCACCTGAGATCTATTAGCAATCAAACTCCTGACAAGTGGGAATGAGTGTTCAGTCACAAAGAGGGGATCCAGGTGGCACCCACAGCATCACTACAGGAAGTATTTACTAAAGCTAAACATGTGCAAGCCTAGGACCTAGCATTTTCTCTCCTCATGCAACAAAAGACCTGCACCAGAACGTTCATGGCAGCATTATTCATAATTGTCCAAAGATGGAAATTACCTAGATATTTTTAACAGTCAAATGGATTCATGAATGTAATACATGCATACAATGAAATACTAAATAGCAATCGTAAATAAACAATCACTGCTACACTCAATATCATAAATGACTCTCACAAAAATAACATTGAAAGAAACCAGAAACCAAAGTGTGTGTACTATAAGATTTCATTTATTTAAAGTTCAAAACAGGACAAAATTACTCAGAAGTCTACATAGTAGTTACCTCTGGACTGTGACAGATCTTGGAAAGGTCCTGAATTGGGAGCTAGTTATATTCTAATTCCTTATCTAGGTGGTTATTACATAAGTGTTTTCACCTTGTAAAAAGTCACTGGGCTCTATATTTATGATCTGTGCATTTTATGTACCTATTAAATAATTCAACTTAAAATTTTTCCTAAAAATCTGTAAGTCACAGGCCGGGAGAAGATACTTGCAAACATGTAATGGAAAAAAGGGATTCATATCTGGAATAAATAAGGAACTCCTGAGAATCAATAAGAAAAAATCCAATAGGAATATAAAAGGCAAAAGATATGAACAGCCCATTCACAAGAGAGCAAAATACAGGGCCAAAAAACATATAAAAAGACACTCAATATAAATACTAATTAGGGAAATACATTAAAATACTGTGAAATAGTTCGTAACTATCACTTTTGAAAATATTTCAAAGCCTAACAATTTCTGCAATGTAGATGTACAAGCGGGGCCACTTACACCACTTACACCACTGGGTAATTTGGTGGAGAGTAATTTGGTACAAACTGAAAGGTAATTTGGTACAATCTCTCTGGAAAGAAAATACTTGCTCTTCGATCTACTTCTAGGAAAGTAATAGAAAAACTCTTGCAGAAGTTCCATAGGGAAAATGGCACAAGAAAGTTATCGCATTACTTGTTTAAAATAGAAAAAAAATAGATCCAGTATGACATCAGTATATTTTGAAAACATGCAAAAACACGGATTCACACATGGGATGTTAGTAGAATTTTTAAATGCCATTAAAGACAAACATCAAATTTGAGATGGTGGTTACCTCTGGGTGGGGGCCTGGCAAGAGAAAGGGATCCTAGAAGGATATACTGGGCTCTGTGCCAGCATTTGTATTGTTTTGCTTCCTAAAGAAACAGGATGCAAATGTGACAAAATGTTAACACTCAATAGAGCTGGCCAGAAAATGCACTGATTTTTTATGAACTTTTTTGTATATTTGAAATACTTCATATTTTAGGAAAACCATTCACCAATATGCCTCTAATCTGATGACCCTCTCCCAAGCAGAACTTCTCTTCTCAATCCCACCACTGCCACAGCACGTGCATGTGTACTGCACCCCCTGCCATGTCCACGTCTTGTGCTTTACATGACCTGGGTCGCTGCAAATGGGGAGAAAAGGATGAACAAATAACGGTCCTTCAGGCTTCTGCCCAGCAGAAGATAATGTAAATTGTCTTCTCATCTCTTTTTGAAATGGGCTGTCTCCCACTGACCACGAGGTGGGACGCCAGCTTGCCAGGTACTGAATAAATATAATGCGTATAGAATTTTGAAACAGCCTCTGTTCCTGCAGGAAAGACCATACTCAGAAAGCTGTTAATGGGGGCGCCTGGGTGGCTCAGTCAGTTAAGCGACTGCCTTCAGCTCGGGTCATGATCCTGGAGTCCCCAGATCGAGTCCCGCATCGGGCTCCCTGCTCAGCGGGGAGTCTGCTTCTCCCTCTGACCCTCCTCCCTCTCGTGCTCTCTGTCTGTCATTCTCTCTCACAAATAAATAAATAAAATCTTAAAAAAAAAAAAAAAAAAAGAAAGCTGTTAATGGAACAGCTTAGTGATGTGCTTCCTGAGTTTGGAAGCAGGACTTCTTTGAATTTCTGCTGATGATATTTATTTCGGAGGGCAGTAAGTAATGTTTCTAATTTACACAAATTTAAACCTATATTCAATTAACTGGACTTTTCTCTGGTCCAGAATTGGGGTTTTTTGGCTAACTATGGTTGGGAAAAGGAAGAGAAAAATTGGAAAACGGCATTTATTTGGTGTCCATTATGTGCCAGGAAGCAAATTACAGCTTTATTCTCATGTAACCCTCACACCCATCCTTTAAAAGGGACATCATTTTACAATTACAAAGGAGGAAGCAAAGGCTCAGAGATGTTAGTGCCTCAACAACATCCCACAAGTGAACAGCAGACTGAAGGTTTGAACCCACTCCTCTCTGCCAACAAAGCTCCCTTTCTTTCTACCATGCTCCCCTCCAGAAAGCCCTTGGAGTGAAACTCTGAGTGGCATTGGAGAGAATGCAGAGAATATATTTAGTATAATTTAAACACTTTTAGGCATAGCTATAATAAGAACAGGTAATAAGAATACATAAAAAGTCAAACACCTCCTGGTTCTGCCTGAGCCAAGATACAAAATAAAATAAAAATTATTGCAACTTATTCTTTCCACAAAATGAGTTTTTTAAAGAAGTGAAATGTCTAGAGAGCTATTCTTAGATACCAAAAGTGAAAATAGAGCCCTGGTATAATCTTTCAACACAGGGTTTGGTGAACTGGGAACAGATTCTCGCAAGCAGGGAGAGATTCTCCCAAGCACTGTGTGTGTGTGTGTGTGTGTGTGTGTGTGTGTGTGTGTGTGTGTGAGAGAGAGAGAGAGAGAGAAAGAGAGAGAGAGAGAGACAAGAAAGAGAAAATTAGTTTGCTAATGTTGCCATAACAAAGTACCCCAGACTGGGTGGTTTAAACAAAAGAAATCTATTTTCTCACAGATCTGAAGGCCAACAGTAGGAGATCAAGGGAACAGCAGGGTTGGTTTCTTCTGAGGCTTCTTTCCTTGGCTTGTAGATGGCTGTCTTCTCCCTGTGTCTGCACATAGTCTTTCCTCTGTGTATGTCTGTGTCCTAATCTTCTCTTCTATAAGGATACAGTCATATTGGATTAGGGCTCACCCATATGACCTCATTTTAACTTAATTACCTCTTTAGAGAGTCTATCTCCAAATACAGTCACATTCTGAGGTACTGGGGATTAGGACTTCAACACAATTCAGGGGAAACACAATTCAGCTCATAACAGAGAAAACACAAGGTGTGAAGGAACCACATCAGTAGTTTTTTTGCGGCGGAAGGTCCATTCAAACAGTCACAGATGGTGACATGGCCTTGCTTAGCTACCAAACTGGGAGACAACCATCCTCTCTAGAATTATCCCAGTTGACTGACATCAGAAGAGAACCATCACTAAACTCTTTTTTGTTGTTCTCTTATAATAATCCTTTAAAGATAATTATGACAAGGATTCTGGAGAAATTATAGAGTATGATATTCTAATCCCCCCAAATTCCCACATAGAAAGAGACCAAGCAACTAGTATATCAAAGTCAAAGACCTGGAACTCCTACAACAAAATAAGTCACAAGGTCTCCCAATGAATGAATCTCACAAAATGAGCATGTAGGGTAAATCATCTATAGCCAAATGACCTTTGTGGTTGAGGATCTGAGTAAAAGGAAAGAGAGGGATTCCAACAGTCCAGAGAAGAGGAAAACCACATTGATGACCTATATTCACTGAAAACATAGAGGTCCAATCTGAGAATAGTAGGACCCAATTCATGGGCGAGACAAGGGGACCATGATACACTAATCTGGCCATGATGGAGCAGCCTATAAACCCTCAAAAATAGCATACTAAAGCTTCCTTTCAAGACAAACTCCACAATGAGAAGAACAGGAACAAATGGTGCAGAGAAAAGGGAATCACAGAAAAAAAAGTGGGGGAAGGGATCAGAAAGTCATATCTCAGAAAATACAAGGCAATAGTTTTTTCATCACTTTGCAAAAGCAGCAGAAGAGGGAGTGGTAGAGCCATGAAGCTAGAAAACCTATCATGACCTATCCCTTCACTCCTATAAATACACACTCATTTCACTTGGAAGGAAGGAAGGAAGAAAAGAAAGAAAGAAAAATAGAAAAATAGAAAAGAAAAGAAAGAGTAATAGAAAAGGATCATGGATAATTCTTATATAAATTTATTACAAGAGAAAAGAGAATAAGAACATAACACTGTCCCCACAGACAATGCAAGTATAACAAAAGATATGCTATAAAATGCAGATGCAAATGTAACTTAATATTTGAAATGAGATGAAAGGAATTAAGAAAATAATACATGTTATTAAAACATAACGTGGGTGTGCCTGGGTGGCTCAGTCAGTTAAGCGTCCGACTTTTAGTTTTGGCTCAAGTCATGATCTCAGGGTCGTGAGATATGGCCCCACGTCAGGCTCCACCACTCATCGCAGAGTCTGTTTGAGATTCTCTCTCCCTCTCCCTCTGTCCCTTCCCTCGCTTGTGCTCTCTCTCTCTTTCTCACTCTCTCTCAAATAAATAAATAAATAAAATCTTTTAAAAATGTAATTTAAATCACCATTAGAAACATTCAGAAATATAATATTTGAAAAGACAGATGACAGAACTCTGAACAGAATTAGATATACAAGGGAAATTTTTCAGAAATAAAAACTAAATTAGAAGGCACATCAGAACCAATAAACAAAACAAATAATGGCTTAAAAGAAACAATATGTAAAAGAGGGAATTTTAGAAAATCAAAAAGAAATGAAGAGGTTCCACTTCCGGTTAGGATGTGAAAGATCATAAAAGACTAGCACTGAGTAATAAGAAAGCACTGGATAAGCTTTTACATTGTATTTTTCTTTAAAGTCATTGAAGAGCTGTAGATTCAAAGTTTAAATAAACTAAAATTTAGAGAGAGATTAGCTCATCTCAGGTGAGTACAAATAGTGGCCCCTTCCATTCCTGGGGCAAGTTGTTAAGCATGGGAACATGGGTGGGCAGAAAAGCAGTCTGCTACAGGCAGAGAAAATTGTTGGGGATAAAGGGAAGCTAACTGAGAAATTAACAGCTGATGTGTAGACTTGAATCTGGAGGAGCCCAAACACAAATTTGGACATCACTGGCTGCCAACTCTCTCCCACAGAAATTTCTTCAGTGAATGGTGGCCAGGAAGTCAGATGACACAGAGGAAAGTAAAGAGGAATTTTGTGGTGTCATGGTGCTTAGATCTCACAACTCTGCTAGAGGGAGGGTGATCCCATTCTCAAGACATTTGAAACCAGAGGTGAACTTAATTAACTAGAGCGGCAACCTAAGTCCTAATTTTGCTCAACTAATGATTTGATTGTAGAGATCATATCCTGATCCAAGATATCTGACTCACACTTCCCTTCAAGACTGATAGAATTGGAGTGGCTGCAGCAATTTGGGGGATCTCACTAAAGGGGGGTTGGGCTTACTATTAGTTGGGTTTATAAAATAAAAGTATGTGGTTCACAATCACTTCCACGTAAAGTTAAGTTATTGTTAGCTAGTCTACTGCATAAACAATTTCCAGGAATACTCCTCCTGCCCACTGTAACAACTCACCTGGCTTGGTGACACAAATATCATAATACCACAATATATTTGCCTGTGCATCTCATTTCTTTAGTCTCCTAGGAGGAAAATCTGCCTGAACAAGACCTAAAGTTGTCAACTAGCATGATATTTTGCAAGAGTTATGTGTTTTCTTTTCAGGTTCGTTGATGGAGTATGTTAACCACACATATAAACTGGCTTTTCTTTGAAGAGTCTAATTATAGAGAGATGCCATTATAAATCTGTTCAAGCCTTGCAACTTGGACATAACAATATTATAAGTACTCTAATATATGTATTTATAAACATTCAAGAGAGAAACCCAAACACAACAGGAATGCAAAAAAAATATTCAAAAAATTAATGAAGCTTGAATATGCCATTTAATTGCAATTTGAAAAGATGTTTTGGAATGTTTCAATAAAACAAGTGAGAAATTATAGAGCTCTTATATGACATGTATGAAAAGTGCCTTTTTTGACACTTTAAAATTTGTTAAAGCATTGAGAGAAAAATGCATATAAAAATTAATAGAATATTTTTTAAGCTATACAGATGAAAATAAACGGAAATTATCTCAATATCGAATAGAGAATTTTAGTAACAAATAAGTTTAGATTATACCAAAACAGTATGTCATTAAGACAAGTAAATTTATAATAGAAATAATAGATTTTTTAATAATTTGATATCCAATTAATAATAAGAAGTGAATCAGAGGAACACATTGCAACAAAATTTCAATTTCTTGTTTATGTAACACTGAATACTGACACTGATAAAGATAGTCTAAAAGTTCTATGAAAGATAGTCTAAAAATCCTAAATCTTTATCAGTATCAGTATTCAGTGTCACATAAGTAGTCCACAACACAACAAGGACATTGATGACCATCTGGTTAGTGGCAGATGCCAAATCAAAGAATATTTAGAAAGAGTCACTCACAAGAAAACTTAAAATGCCTTGAAATCGTAAAGCTCATGTGCAAAAGAAACTTAATAAATGTTGTCCCATTTTAACAACAATCCTAAAACTTGACCAATAATGAGTTGTAAAGCTAAAGTCAATCAATTGAGCAATCTTTTCTCAACTGCCAATAATAAATGCATGTTGGTCACACATGCTAGAGGAAAGACTGCATTACCAACCTATTCTCTCTGTTTACATATATTTTATAATGTATTTTAACACCTTGTCATATGAGGAGAAGAGCAAAGAAAATGCAGCCCAAAAAAATACATAAAGAGAAAAAGAGGTGGTTCAGGCAGTTAACTAATAAAATATTAGGATAAAAACTTTTGCACAGCAAAGGAAACAGTCAACAAAACTAAAAGGCAACCTACAGAACGGGAGAACATATTTGCAAATGACATAACAGATAAATGGCTGGTATCCAAGATCTATAAAGAACTTACCAAACTCAACACCCAAATAACAAATAATCCAGTCAAGAAATGGGCAGAAAACCTGAACAGACACTTCTCCAAAGAAGACATATAAAAGGCCAACATACACATGAAAAAATACTCAACATCACTCGGCATCAGGGAAATACAAATCAAAATTACAATGAGATACCATGTCACACCAGTCAGAAGGGCTAAAATAAACAACTCAGGAAACAACAAATGTTGACAAGGATGCAGAGATAGGGAAACCCTCTTATACAGTTGGTGGGAATGCAAGCTGGTGCAGCCACTCTGGAAAACAGTATGGATGTTCCTCAAAAAGTTAAAAACAGAGCTACCCTATGACCCAGCAATTGCACTAGTAGGTATTTACCCCAAAGATAAAAACATAGTGATTTGAAGGGGCACCTGCACCCCAATGTTCATAGCAGCAATGTCCACAATAGCCAAAATATGGAAAAAGCCCAGATGTCCATTGACAGATGAATGGACAAAGAAGCTGTGTGTATGCACACACACACACACACACACACACTGTGGAATATTACTCAGCCATCAAAAAGAATGAAACCTTGCAATTATGTGGATGGAACTAGAGAGTATTATACTAAGTGAAAAAATCAGTCAGAGAAAGAAAAATACCATATGATTTCACTCATATGTGGAATTTAAGAAACAAAACAGATGAACACAGGGGAAGGGAAAGAAAAATAAAATAAGATGAAATCAGAGAGGGAGGCAAACCATAAGAGACTCTGAACTCAAGGAGACAAACTGAGGGTTGCTGGAGGGGAGGGGGGCTTGGTGAATGGGGTAACTTGGTGATGGGCATTAAGGAGGGCACGTGATGTAATGAGCCCTGGGTGTTATATGCAACTGATGAATCACTAAATTCTACCCCTGAAACTAATAATACAATATACGCTAACCAAATTGAAGTTAAATAAAAAATTTAAAGAAAAAGATAAACTAAGGCATATTAAAAAATAAAATAAAATATGAGGTTGCTTTTCTGGACTTTTTAATGTGTATGTTATCTAATTTATAACGTGAGGATGATTTTTTCT